TTACAAACTACGGAGGAATTCCAAAGAGTTACTTAACAAATAACTTTCGCTAGATTATATAACTCAACGAGATTCAAAAATCCTTTTCTAGATACCTATTTGTTAAAGAAAATCATAAATAAGACGAGTTTAATTCTTTCATACGTGCAGACTTTCAAATCTTACACCTTTATAACGTAAGTAGCGGTATTAACCGTGATTTGGCTCATATTTTACGGTGGTTTGCGAGATACCTTGTTTTTTGCTTAAATTAATTCTTATCTGACAGTAAAAGTCACAGTAAAATCCGCCCAACCGTTTAGAGATTGGAGGAAAAGCGGAAAGCAGACAGTTGTAGTCAACATTTAAAATAGCATCAATATATAATTATTTGAAGCCCTGTAATCAGGTAAAGTTATTATAACTATTATTTAAAAAGTATAGGTCACTTTTTTACCTACATGTTATATATAATACCTATTTAGTTACTGATATTTTTGTTGATATAAATAATGTCATTTGCTCAAATTTGTCAAACAATACGGAATTAAAAGAGTAGCTCCGCAATTCTTCGCTTTATCACTGCATTAGTCGATGACATTGTGATGTATGTCAGGAAATAGTGCATGTAGCGTTCCTGTTTCGTGAAATTTCATGCTCGGGCCACAACGTAGGATTATGCGACACCTTTGTGCAGGATTTAACATTTAATCAAGTACATAACAATGCTCTGTTATTTTATTTGTACTTTTAAGGGATAAATTTACTGTTGCAATAAATAAGGGCCTTTACTATTACCTTACTAAATAATAACAAAACATGTCAAAACTTTTAAAAGTGATTAAAACATTTTTCGCAACTGATTTTTTTCTGGAAATTTTGCCGCTAACACAAGTAAACTATTCTATTGTGAGTTTTCACCTAAATTTATGTTAATATTTTAAAATTTTAATATGAAAGCAGTGAATCATATAACAAATATAAACAATAAATCCTTTGTAATCATATTCTAAATGCAACAAGCTTAATTCAACTTTCCATATGTAATCACGTCATATATTGACCTCAAAATCATAAAACCATTCGTGCCACCTCATTTTATTGACCATATAACATGCATTCTGTACAGAAAACACCGTGTATTAACAATGTATTATAAATGTTTACAATATAATGTTAAAATCATGTGTGTAAATTAATAAGAAGACAAAGTTCTGGTGAAAAAAACGTTGATTTTATTAATAATTTCGCTAACTAACCAGTAATATATAAAATCTCTTCAGACTTTTTACAACGTTATTATCTAAGTTATATTACATTTTTATGGCACAATAAAGGATTTTTGTTTAAGCCAATAATTAGATTAAATAAATATAAAGCCTACTTTATCTCATCAAAGAACGTTTTCCAAGCCGTTTCAAAGACTTATGGACAACTCGATTCCTTAACAAAAAAACATTTATACTTCTTTCTTTAATTATAACAAAAATATTTTTTATAACATTGTATGAATATACAGTCTCTTTTATTTGTATTAAATTTCTCATTCCTAAACCCATTATCAAGCCTTTAATTTTAATTTACTTAGGTAAGAATAAAAGGTAAATACTAATTTATATATTTCTTTGCTTGATAGTACGTAGATTTTTAAGGAACTTCTTTCTTTAAACATATATTGTAATGACATCAGTACATTGAAAATATTACCGTATAAATACTATCATATAAAATATTGCATTACTTTTTTGTTGATTTAGGGGTCCAAAAAATACATATATATACACACAACCTCATAAACAAGAACTTATTAAAATTAACCAATATGTTCCTATATAAAAGTAAAAGTCATTTCGCATTATATGTATGCAAAATCAAATGTTGCCCTCAAGACTCAAGCTCATATTTACACAATGATCAAAGCTGTGAGAATATTACAACAAACTTTTTCTTTTATGTAACATCGTAAGAATGTAATCACTTAAGCGTCCTGAATTTAAAACATTTTGTGATTAAAACTAATTTATTTTATTACAATTAACTTATCTATTAATTCGAATAATTTGTTTTAGTATCAGCTTCATTTAAATTGTCTCTCATAAACTATTGTAATTATAAGTTTTCATGCAATAGATATAAACATAACACATTTTTTTCCAAAGACAATTAACTAAAACCATTTTAGTATATTCCCGAAATAACGATAATAAAAAGAGTGTGTGAGTATAGATAACACTTGACTGGTTCGTTCCAACAACACAGTCTCCCCCGGGAAAGACAATACTAGGTTCTGTTTTTGTATGGAATACTTGTTATGAAAATACATATCAGATTATTTGCTTTCATAATATAACTATAAACATGTAGTTAATATATCTGGAAAAGATGTTACAATCATATTTTAACGAAGCCCCAGTGTATAGTTTGTATCTTCCCGTATATTGACTAAATGTTAGAAATACAAAAACAAAATACTTTGTATCCATTTTGCTCTTAAAAATTTATATAGTAAATATCCCAAAGCCAGGTTCCGGCTTTCTCTCGTAATATGGGGAGAATTTTACAATTTAACACGCATTTTTTAATACATTTTACCATTTGAAGCAACTTTTTAAATTGCTCAATTCAAAAAATATTAACACTGGACTATTTTATTAGTTACATTTCAGCGAAGAATAGACATATTTTACTTATACAGACCCTATTATTTCTCATAGACAGTTGTTATTTCTGTCCCTCCATTCGTCTACTTCTACAATATCATTGATTAGTTAAAAGTCATGTGAATATATTTTAAGAGTTAACCATTTTGGTGATACAATACATTTTTGTCAATGTTCCAAGCTGGTGGTAACAGTATTTAATATGTGGTCATTTAATAGGTATAAGCATCGCAGTAAACTATTTCAACAATGATTATTTTTTATAAATATTTTTTAAACAGTTATATTTAAGGTTTATTGCTTGTACCATAGTTGTTATTAAATTTTTGTTTCTATAAATTGGTTTGTAACCTAAATGTTACATTTAATTAAAATGACGTAAAACAAGTAACAATATTTTTGGTAATATATAGCTTATATAAACTTAAATAATTTTATCTTCAAAATTCAACTCAGCAAACTATTATTTTTATAGCGCTGTAACTGACTTCGGAGTTTTAAATACTAAAAAACTAACAATTTATATTTTACCTCCTGTTGTGGTTTTATTGAGTTGTTTATTTTTCTAATAACCATTGTTTGCTATAAAGTGATTTATTAAAAACATTGACGTGAACGTTAAATGACCTTGTCAAAGCAAGAAATTATGAAAAAATAGTGGACATCCCCTACAACAGTTTTAATTTCGTTGAGCATGTATTTTTACATTAAAAAACAACCCATGGTCGTTAGGACACTGAATCACAATAATTCAAGTCTTCTGGTGAGCGTTAACGATGCAATAAACATGCAACTAAAAGGCGTAGTAATTTTATCCCACTTACTATTTCTCGCTTTAATCAGTAATTAACGACAAAATTCTCTCTTATGCACGCATATAAAATATCTCACAACATGCTTTAGGTCTGACAAATAGATGAACGAATTCCAGTTGAAAAACTTTCAATGTCCAGAATTGCTCCTATCATCAACGTAATTTTTCTTTTATATTTTACGTATCTCTGGAGATTTTGAATGGATAACTTTCAAACTGTCAGTAGTAAAGTTGGTAACAAATACTAGGCATAGAATGCAATACGGAAGCGATGCGACATCGACACCAAGCTTACAACGGGTTTTAAATTTACAGCCACAATAAAAGTATCGCTTTTATTGTCAAGCACACAATTCGTTCCGACAGCTGTAATTGCAAACTCTGGCAATGTCTATTGGATCACTAATTTAACTTCAACTATTTTAACATCGTGTTTTACAAATAACACGCTCTGCGGTTGGCTTTAACCTTCGTTATAGTTGGTCTATACACAAAAATGTAGAGGAAAATTTTTAAGTATCTAAAAAATATTTATATAAATAGTATTTGAAAAATATGATGCTTGAATAGTAGCCTAATTGATAAAAATAAATATTGTGAATATTGGTAAGATATATTTCTCAAAGTTAAGTTTCATTAAATGACATTTTATGAACTTAAAAAAATCTATTAATATTATACTATGAACACAATATTTATTAAAATATTAAAACCATTTTATTGAAAACTTAAAGTTCACTTTCATTTATGTTTTAGCAAAATAACCTAATTTAAGAAATAGGTCAATAACATCATTGGCATAATGATTAACTATAACAAATCCTCTTTTTAAATAGAGCTTGGTTCAAAGGGACATTTTGGTACATAACAAGTTTCTGCTTTATTTGAATAAAAATGTGAAGTGGAGATCGTTACTTTCGATAAAATTCCCCGACTTTGTAGCATTCCAACTACGAAACAAAGAGCCATGTCACGCTAATTGGGTTCAAATCTGCAGTCTCGTCATTAAATATCTTTTGCTGTCTGTATTCCCTGAAATAAATATTTCTTTTACACTAATAGATGAGGGAAAATGTCTAAGAACTTGCACCACTTGAGAATTATTTTCTTTTTAATTTCTTCTATAGAGTAACGCTAATTGAAATTTCACTCAAACAAGCTGTGACAAATTCAATAATATTTCCTCTTTAGCTTATTAATGCATGTAGATAACGAGCGCAACTTCGCTTCCACTAACTTTTTATAACCACTTTTCATAAAAGTTAGCTGTTTTTGGCTGCATTAAGGATATTTTAGAACATACAATGACCACTAACTGAAAATTTTGCTACCTGTTACCACTGCTCGTATTCAATGATAAATTTAAATAAAGAACTACTGACTCTTAATATAAGAATACAAAAAAACAAAACAACATTATCTTGACTCAAAATTTATTTTAACTGGAAAAGAATGATACTATTTTATCACCTCGCTTACAAACAATTTAATTGCTTATCATTAACATCAGTTCAAGTATATAATAAATATTTACAAGGATTAATCGTTTAGTTGCGGTATAGTAGAGTGGTCAACCATTCTGGCCTTGGGTGTTGAGGTTTATATTCTGATGGACTTAATGCCAATGGAGATGCTGCATCTGCTAATGTTACAGAAGATGACGTTTCTGTGACTGCTATACTAGGTTTACCTTTGTGGATTGTTCGCAACTCCTCACTTTCAACGGCTCTTGTTCTTTGCAGATTTTCTCTAGTTTCTTTCATTCTAGAAAGTTGTTCCCTTAAACTTCTATATTCTTCTAGGAATTTCTCAAGCTGAGATGCACGAAAGTCAAAATCCTCGAAAGGTTGGCCAGTTCTCGAATAGTCTCGAAGGCCAGATAAGTCCAAAAGAGGTGTGGCGGACGGAACTGATGACTGCTCTCTGGATGGAGAGGCCGGCAGGCTAGGATTTCGACGCATTCTATTACCGCCGACAGAAAGATCTAGAAAACTATTTGACCTCCGTCCACTAGACCTTTGTTGACTTTTGTCATAGCTTTTATCAATAAAAGTGATAGAATCACCTCCAGAGCTATTTCTTCGGCTACTTAACAGAGGACTTCGGCTGTCACCATCTTTTCTCCTGGGAATTGTGTAAAAATAATAAGGATCATGTTTTATATCACCTCGATAGTATGACGTTGTGCCCAAGGCACTCATTTCTATTAGATCTGGATAGTTCTTTTCACTGTCGCTACCAGATAGATCATTATCAAGACGATCGCGTGCTCGTGGTCGAGGACATGAGCGAGCGTTATTATTAAACCTATTATTTTCAGATAAAATCTCAACGTGACCTGCTAAAAGCCCAGCCGACTTAGATGTCTGTATCGTTTCACTGGTAGCGTCGTTTCTGGAACAAATAATATTTTATCAAGTTATTTATAGTTTATATTTAAAGAGTGTTATTTTATTAAATATTTTTACTACAATCTAAATCAAACATTACTAAACAATAATAAAATAATGTTTTGTAATATATACCAGAAAATATACAACGATAATGTATTTTATTTTTGTTGAAAAGTATTTCAGGATTTATCTTAATACGTTACTAATTTTTAATACGTTACTAACTTAACATGTGTTTCACAGAGGAGTCAATTTTATTATTTTTTTCTTGTAAGATTAAGTTGAAGTTCGTGGAGTAAACAAGGGGTGTTTAACCTCCGGTACTATCTTAAACAAAGGAGTACAAAGGGTTTTTTCGTTATATTTAGTCAACTAGTAACTCTATATTGGGTTTTCTAAAACATTATTAGTAGTCGATTCAATTGTTGAAAAGTCTAATTGTATTAGTATCTATTATTCAAAATAGAGTTATAAATAATTATTACTATAATATTTTTGGGATTTTAGAACTTTCTTTGATCATTTTCAATAAAAATATCATAACAATTTTATTCATCGTTTTTTAAAGAATGATTTCAACCAGAAATTTATTTAATTACATCTTTTATCTGAGTTTTACAGCGCTCTGAAGTTAACTGAATTCTTGAACACAAGAAAGAATAAGATAACAACAGACCATTAAACTTAGTGCATCATATACATTTTATTTTACAATTTGTAATATTGATAATTTTTTTATGTTATTATTCGTTTACTGTATATCATTTAAACCACCTGTAAGGCAAAGTCTGGTTGCCCGTACTTTTACGAGGTTTCTCCTAACTTGTTCTAGGTGAGATAATATTAAGCATAATCATATATTTTAAAAGTTATTTTCAAGGTATTATCATTATCTGTTATTGTCCAGGCCACAAATCAGGATCTTATTAAATTACGAAGGTGTATTTGCTCATTAACGTTGATTACAATTGGTATTATTGTAGGTAAATCATCTTTAAACTCATTTTTTGATTATTTTTTTCATTTTCTGGATGTTATTAATTTATTTGCAACATATAAATAGACGCAAAAATGTTTGCTTAGGATATTGAGCAACTTTAATATGACTTTTTAATGAACAATTCAGCTGTTATATTTTAAATTTAGTATAGTGTATCGAAGACAAACTTGAATTAATAGGTAAGATACAGTCACTAGTACAACTTACTATGAAACGAGCGAATATTAATTTAGTTTTTTTCACATTCATACATGTCTCTATATCTCATATACATACGATTTAAGTAATTATTTTATTTATAAAATTTAGATAAACACCTGTTGTTTTTATTTTATAGTGTAGATATGATGAAAAACTTACCCTGAGTTATATTCCCTCAATCTTGGTATATGAAGGTCTTGAACTAATTCACCTGCTCTAGAAACAGGTGGGTCATATTCAGTACGTCGCCATCTAATATCTCGTGGAGGCGAAGACTCACTTCTTTTTCTATTAACTTCCTCTCTTCCATAACCTTCGTATTCGTCTTCTGGGTCGTCTGATGGTACATTTCTATAGTCTCCTCTTTTTCGACTATTATTTTCTGAAACAACAACCCTTGAAACTTCTTCGGTTGTTTTTAAATTAGCTTCTATTTTTTCGTAATTATTATCGTGATGATTCGACGTCACTATCTGTTCATTCCATCTATCTAACTGACGTTTCTTACGAGTCTCATATGCACATAATCCTATTAAACATGAACTTAGTATAATTACTGCAGACACAGCCATCCCAGCCATGAGGGCTCTACCACCAAAACCTCTACTATGAGGTTTTTTCTCAATGGTTAAATTCAAAACCACTTCCGCCTTACCAGCTCTGTTTTCAGCATTGCACGTGTATTGTCCAGAGTCTTGAATATCTGCGGACTTTATTGTTAAATTACTAGTTTGTCCTTCACTACGTAGTAAAAAAGTTCTACCCGAATTGAGGTTACTTGATATAGTAGTATTTGCTAAAAGTCGCCCCGATCGAATCCATCTCACTCTTGGTGCTGGCACACCACTTACTCGACATATGAGAGTAACTTCTTCACCTTCTACACCTTTGATGTTGTTTGAGGTTCCGGTTACTTCTGGTATACATGCAAAATCTTCTAGATCCAAGCGATCCCATGATTGTGATGTTAATCTCGGAGGTAACGCGCAGTCTGGTACAACAGTCGCGGGAACATTTTTTCTTATCATCCAATCTCGCAGAGGTCTAAGAGCACAGTTGCAATCCCATGGATTATTCGAAAGTTCGAGTCCTTTCAATGACCTCAGGGGCGCTAATATGGCAACATGTAATATTTGAAGTTTATTCTTATTAAGTTCCAAATATTCTAATGAACCTTCCAAACCCTTAAAACCTCTGTGTTCTATTTCAATTATCTTACAATCACCCAAGGTTAATTTTACTAAATGGGGTAGGGATAAAAATGCATCATCTTTTATTTTTACTATTGGGTTACCGCTCAGTCGAAGTTCTCGGAGTTCAGGAATTGATTCAAACGCTTGTGAGGGCACCGTCTCTAAACGGTTTCTAGACAGATCCAATTCCACCAGATTCACTAGCGCACGAAATGCATATTGCCTTATACTTTTTAAATTGCAGGCAGGAATGTATAGACGTTGAAGATTCAGAAGCCCAGCTTCTGCAAAAGCATCGTCTTTAAGTACAGATATTCGATTCTCAGCCAGATCCAAGAGTTGAGTTGTTGGGTCTAAACGTGGTGGTATAGAATTCAGGCCGGCGCGAGCACATAGTGCAGACTCTTTACCACTCCGCCATTTGCACTCGCAGTGACGAGGGCATTCGGCACTGACGGCCACCGCCAACGCAAGCATCAGCAACACCCACATGCCCCGCGCCTGTTCAGCCCGCGCCACACCTGCCGTCTTCACCGCAGTACGTCATTCCCTAAATAGCCACGTCCCTAGAACAAAAAGTTAATCTTAAATTTATCGCCTATTACTCGCAAGGTAAAAATCAGTAATCAGTCTATAATCCAAGGATTTCGGGCTTAGTGAGAAATGGTGATCGTTCATTCTGAGGCATACTAATTTTCCTCCATTTTGTATACAAAAGGATCGGGAGTACCTTCATTTATAGGGTAAATTTCCTTTGTCATCTCGAGTCTAATAACTCCGCTATTCTTGGATAACCGTTTCGTTATAAACGTTCCTCGACTACATTTAATTTCATTTTATGTTTATTGCCTTATTTATTACATTTACAAAATATGATTCTTTTTGAGATTTCGACTTCATAAATTTTTATATTTTACTTTTAAGAACTGTTACGAATATAAATACGCTCTCTTAATTGTATTATCTTTCGAAAGGGACATATTCATAAATGTATATTTTTATAAGATGTACACATTTTTTATAATGTATTGTTATCTGTGAAGGTAGTATTTTCCAATTTGAATTTTCCTTATAAATTAATATAAAACTTTAATATCGACTTAATTAATCTTTAGGACCCGGAGAACCTCAAGATGTATAAAAAAATCAAAGAAAGTATATAATCAATTTCTTATTGGATGATTAAAGTACATTTGTACGTTTTATAATTAAATACTGGAGCAAAAATTAAATATTTAGTAGTAATTGAACACTGAAATGGAATCAGTATGACTGAAAGTTTTTTCTGAGCCTTTAACAAAAGAATCAGGCCTAAAGGCGGTCAGCAACACTCGAGGTTTAGAGGCTCAGTGAATCAGCAAAATGTAAGCTCCATTTCATAAAAAGAGAAAATCTACACGGAATTAGCAAAATATTGGAATTGATGCAACCGTCTTTTTTATTGTTCAAACAGCTTTCTAGTATTATATAAGTATCATTATGTTGTGATATATAACAATGAACCTAAAAAATAAACCTTTAAAATATTCTTCTAAATGAAGTGTATTTGAAAAATATCAACGAGAAATGTAAACTAGATTTACCAATTTTCCGTCTGCAAACCTTCATAAAAATATAAATAGTGGAAGTACGGAAGCCTTGTTAGATTTATTCCACTGAAATATTAATAAAACCATTTAAAAAAGTAAATTTATATATTCAAATCAACTCTATTTATTTATATTATGTAACTATTTTTTAGACAAAAGTTCCTGCAAATATGTATATGTTGTTAAACTTGATAAAAGAATTTCATCTTTATAAATTTCTTTACAAAAATGTACATGGCTATTGAGTTTCTAGGCTTTAGTTTAATTCCGGGCAAATATAAAAAAATGTATAGAACCGTAGAACAAGAAAATCTTATTAATATGTGAGCACGTATCTTAAGCAAACTTCTTCGAAACAATTTCATGCTAGATAGTCCAATAATCTAGTTCTAATGGTAACAATAATCCAGATATCATGGACAACAACAATCGCATTGTAAACAAGAGAATAAACGGATTTACAGTGCCCATTCAAGCTTATCATCGATCAACTCTGCCCCAATGACGGCCCAATGATCTTACCTTGCGGATATATGTACCAACTTCATTTATTCTCGAGAGACTTTAGAAATTCAATTAGTCACTAATTGTTCCTTAATTATAATTTAATACGACACCGTAACAGACGACATCTTTAATTAAATTTCGACATAGCAAAGACCATTTGCAGGGAGGTTACCAGCGAATCAATACCAGATTAATGACATGCTAGTCATATATTTTATTATTATTGTTTGGGACTTGTAATAAAACTAAAAATGTACCTAAATCTTGTTTAAGCCTTGTTATATGTACAATAATACAATCATTGTTACAGGAAATTTCTATATTTTATTAATAGCATCAGATTATTTTTCGGGCACGTTATTTGAAAATCGAAAACAATTTAGTGTTTTAAATTAAGTCGTTTCTATAATAACTCACCATCATACCATTTTACCTGTTATCATACATTTTATTAAATTTACATAATCCTATAGACTCAATATGTGGCACACATTCTCGTTATCCATCATTCTTAATACTTTTAAATATGTCGTGTAATTGTTTGGAATGAATCTGAGAAAACAATGCAATAATGAATCGATTCATTCGAGTCAACTCACCTCAAATTTTCATAGTCGTTGACACGCACCAACTTCATTCAATCTGTAAACAAAACAAACCCCTTTATAGTCTATCGTTTGCTGTGAAATAATATAAATATTTATAAATTTGAATTATTATATATTCCATTATCTTTATATATATAATTTTTCTGTGTGTATGAACTTCTCTCAAACGACTGGACGGATTTTGATGAAATTTTTTGTGTGTATTCAAGGGCATCTGGGAATGGTTTACTTTCACAATTTTGTCCGCTGGACAATATTTTTTAATTAATTTTATATTTATTAGTAGTTGATGATAAAAACTTTTTTTTTACATTAGATTTGACAACTAACTAATTTGTCAATCATCATTCTGTCGCACTTCAAAACACGGAGATTTATGGCTTTAATAGGTAAACTCCAAAAATATAAATAAAAAAACGTAACAGATATTTCTTGATTATAGGGCGATACGAAGTTCGCCGGGTCTTCTAGTATAATATAATTTTATTTTAGTCACTTTTATAATATGACGATGTTTAAATTAATTTGACGTTCATCATTAGTAAAACATTAAAATAATGAAGTATCATAAAAAATATTTAAGAGCTATGAAAGTATTCTAAAATTATTATTTTTTGAACAGTCAGTGAAAAACTGTTATTAATTATTTTGTCGATATTATCCTTAATCATAAAACACAAAGCATGGAATAAAGAAAGCTAGGTAATCAATTATCTAGGCTTACATATATAATGTGAACGATTCGCATAGATTTATTACTGTAAGTATAAGCACAATATTACTACAATTCCCCAGACAAAATTACGATAAATTGCAATACTGAAATGAATAAGATAGGAGAAGCTAACTTTACAGTTGATAGATGAAAACGCATTAATGAAGATGCTATCAATCTTATCTACACAATACCCTCCCCTTTATATAATTCCTATGATAAAAGCTGTCCATAATGTTGACGTTATATCTTATATTATTTAAGCAATTATAATGATTCTAGAGATAGCGTAAGCATCACTTTATAATATAAACATTTAACATACAAATAAAGATTGTATGATATATCAAAACTAAACCAAATTTATTATGAGTAGGAATTAAGTGGGATATTAATCTTCTTAACCTAACAGTGTATAATTTATTTTATTCCCCTGTCGGCATTTTGGGGAAATCTCATTTATTCTTTCCTGGATACATGATTTATACAGTCGGTAGGGATTTATGGTTTAGTGCCTTTGTAAAAAAATATTTCAAAATTAATTAAATTAATTAGAAAACCTACTTGATTTGATTTACGTTGCTGATTACTTTACAAAGATTTTTAATAGCTACAAAATGTAGGCGTTGTCTGTCAGTAATGACCAAACTATTTTCATTATTTTTATTCATTGCAATAATGTATAAATATACGTAACTATTACTATGTTCTTTGTAATCAAGTAGAATTGAAACGAAACAGCTAATATACATTTCACTCTTCATTATAAGTAACATATAAGCATTTTTTATTCGTATTTATTAATACGTAAAAAAATCTCTTGTATCACAAGATACAGTCTTATAATATTAATTTTATAGGAGCCAAAATAATAATCTTTTATAATCATGATGGCTTGATGAACTCTGACCCAGTTTGAGCACTTGAAATTACTGTGGAGATAAAATTTAGCTATCTTGAATATGTTGAAAAAGATGTCGCTCCCCGGTAACATAAAAAATGATCTTTATCGTTAATTAAAATCTAATCGTATTTAACTTAAAGGGTTGCGGTAAGTTTTATTTAAATAAGTATAAAATTAAATTTAAATAATGAGAGACATTTATTACCTTTTTTTATGTAAAATTTAATATGCAGTATAACTCAATGCTAAAAAGCATATTGCAAACGTGTAATTGACACGTGTTATGAGTATATTTTAATTTTAAATTTAATATTTCTACCAACGATATAAAATACGATTCAAATGTATCATATAATATTATATTTATAACTGTGCTTGTTGTGTACGTCCTTGATAAACACAATTTGCAGGATATAAAAATATTTCAAAAGCTGGATTAATTGTCAACCAATGAGAAAATCTTTTTTTATTTTACTTTCTCTCGTTATATCCAGAGGAACTTCGCTCACTTACTTTATTTAGGCTTCTTAAAGAAAGGACAACTGGACTCGGTTTTAGTATATTTATTTTAGCGTTTTATTTATTTCTTTAATCTTCCAATTTCTAAGCTTTACATCGTTTATATTTTAAGATGAAAGACGATTTATTTATTTTGTCTAAGAGTGAAAACATGTTTAGCCTTTGTTATATTTTTAATATAACGAAATTTTATACTTTCATCGTCAACTCTGTACTCATACATTAATAATAAAATTGTTTGTGTAAACATAAGTTAAAACTTTCTGACAGCCAAATATGTTTTCTCCTACAAAGCTAAAAGATCTTTAGAAACAGAAGATTGTTTTTATACACTATACGAAACAATTCGGGTCCTCTTTTCGAAAGCAACATTCGCGTGTAGATAACCTAAGAATAAGTGGAGGTCATTCCGCGTGTAATTCTAGTATGCCTTTTTGTAACACGCGATCGCGTGTCCGACCTAGTATGGTTAACTATCGAGGCCCGTATCCACTGGTTTTAATATAAACTGCCTAACCTCCACGGAGAATTTTATTATATGTATTTATAGCTCTAATACATTGAAAAGCCTAAAAGATAAACCATTAAGTCTCAAGTAGTATGTAACTTTTATATAGATATTGATTGACTCACGAAGCAATATCTTGAAC